ACGAGAAAGAAGTTTTAGAGATCTGCAAAAGAAACCAGGAAAATATACGGGGAAACAGTACAACCAATGTGGAAGGATGCAAGCAGTCACAAAGTTAAGAATGACATTTGAGGGAGCACCGAACGTTTTAAGCCTATAGGCGTAGAATGATAGCTTACGAACCCGAATACAAATGTTTTCAACATGTTTGGACCAAGAAAGATTGTGTGACAAAGTAACTCCAAGACATTTCACGGAGTTAGCTTTGGGGATGGTATTACCAATAACAGAAAGTTCAGGCTGATTATTCAAAAGGGTTTGATAAGGCATGCCTGTTGTAAGACTAAAAGAAACATCCACACATTTATCTACATTTAGCATTAAAGATCGGGGAGTCGACCAACTAAAAATGTTATTGAGATAGACTTGAAGTTGAGAGAAAAAATCGGGAAGAGTTGAGGGACAGCCAACCACCACGTCATCAGCATACTTGCAGGCGCTAAAGTTAGGAGGGATGGGAAGGTTCTTTAATATACAGTGAAAAAAGAAATGGAAACAAAATTACACCCTAAAAAACTCCAGGGTTAACTTCTAGCAGGGAGGACGATTTACCGTTACAAAAAGTGTATTGCGTCCGATAAGTGAAGTAATTAATTAGTACATTCAGTGAATTAGGTGTCAGACCACAGTTCGAAAGACATTCAATGAGAATGCCGCGGTCAAGTGATCCGAGAGCATTTGCGTAATCAAGAAAAGTTAAACGGACGACGCCAGCCCCTTTATCCAATAAGGATGAAACGGAATGAACACCGTGAGCAATAGCATCAAGAGTGGAAAGCGAATGTTTGTAAGCAAACTGAATGGGGTCATGGGTGACAAATAAAAGGGTCAGCTGGTTACGAAGGACTCTTTTAAAAACTTTCAATAATGCTGATGTGCAGGCAATCGGTCGATATTTGGAAGATCCTTTTTTAGGAATTGGGGTTATCCGCGCAGCTCTCCAACAATCAGGGATGCTACCCGATGACATACACAAATTGAATAACTCAGAAACAGTTGAAGCAAGTTGTTCAGCACACTCTTTCAGTAGGAAGGGGGACAACGAATCAGGGCCATGTGCCTTGTATGATTTGAGGGACTTGAAGTACATTCAGGACTTCCACATGGGTGACAGATTGGTTCTCCCAAGTAGATGTAAATAAAGATGGTGCTGAGTTCCGTACTGTAGCATTTGCGAATTGACGGTTTAACTCCTCAACATCCGGAGATCTGTTGCGTGATCCACAGAGCTGCTCCAAAGCAGACCACATATTGCGGCAGCTCTGGTTTCCTGTTAGAGTTTCGATATACATCCGATTTAGGCGCTGTATTTCTATTTTGATCATTAATGATAAATGTTTGACAGCGCTGCGCCTTCCAGTCCTGTAAGCCTTTTTATCACGACGAAACCGTTTTAGAAGAGGCGAAGATAATCTGTCAGTTTGAATATATATGGTCTCTACTGGGCAACACAGATCATAGCAGAAATTAGGATAAGATGCTCACAACTGGAAGAGTTGTGTGCATTGGAAAAGACATTGAAGTCGGTAGATGAAACCACATCTTTAAGTTTGGATAAGTTTTCAGGAGTGCTACTTCTCCTGATGGTTCCGAATGTGGAACGGTTCATATACTGCTGAAAATATTTACCGTAAATCTCCTAGGGTGCAAAAAATAGAGCAATGATCGGAGCTGCCTATGGGAGCCCCCTTCTCAATGAAAAAGATATCGGGGCTTTTAACAACGTCCCGTCAAGTTGAATACCAAGCCGGGTTGGAAAATTTACAAGATTCATCAAGCCTCAAGTTGTGAGGAAAGATATATTAAAACGATTAAAATCACCAGCGGCAGTGCATAAAGACTGGTCTAAACCGGTTATAAGTTGTGAAGAGGAGTCGACAAACAGACAGGCGTGTCAGGAGCGATGTAAATGTTCGCTAATGTAATATGATGAAAGTGATTGATAAATCGGGGCTTACAATAAACAGAAATACAAATTATCTTGGGAGTATTAAATTGAAGACATTTACGAGCGTTTTTGCACCATTTCCTGTTGACGAAAGTCACTACTCCACCACCTCTGTGAAGGAGATTCACATTACGATCGACTCGGAATATGTCAAATCCACTAAGATGCACGACGTTGTCCTGAATATCAGGATGTAGCCGGCTTCCCTGAAATAGAATAGTCCCTACATTCTCGCATTCCTTCCGGTGTATCATGCTCCTGACATCACCGAGTTTTCCCATGAGCGAACGAGCGTTACTTGAGATAATAGACGGAACAGTCAAATTATCAACAGAACATCGCCTAAGCGCCACATGCCAGCCAGCACGGTGTTTTTTATGGTGTCTTTGAACAGATTGTTGCAGTCGTTTAAATCGATTTCTCACAGAATGGGCAAAAATCAGAAGCTGATGTTTCTCCGCGATAAACTCCAAGGATTTCAAAAATATGGCATTGTAGGACAACATTTGACCTTAAGAATATAATGATTTGATTCAAAAGTGATGTTAACGCGTTCCTCCACTGTAACTTTACGAGATAATATTCCACGATAACAAGGTACGGCCAAATTCAAAGGTCCCGTGAGGAATACCCTGATATATCATCAATAAAGAAAGAAGATAAATGTCGCGAAATGTTAACTTTTCGTTTAATCTTCTCAGTCGTTCACTTGAAACAAATAGGCACATATATAGCACATGGGGTTTACCAATTATGGTGCACGAATGCGTACAAGCATGCAAAGATTACTAAATTTAGAAGTGGAAGGTGAACTCCACGGTAAGTGGATTGTATCAAAAACTTCTGTGTGCACAAGTTCGAGTGATGTAATCGAATAAGCGATGCTTCACTAATTGCCAAAAGTTATGCTTTGCAATTATGCCATAGAGGTCTGAAAGACGAAATGGGTGTCAACTGTGTCTTCTTGTCATGACATGTTTTGCAACAGATGACCCTGGATTTCTCGTGATTACTTGACGATCAGTTATCAGTTGCGTCATCAATTTGTTTGCAAAGTGCCAAGCTTGGCGAACAGGCGAAGTGGAACTTTGGAATATGTTCGGCCATTCGTTGTGAGAGCTGCCTGTGTGCGTCACCGCAACTGCAGGTGTGTGAGGCGGAACCGGTTTACCAGCCCTGATATCTGTTGGATATTTACTAACATGGCGAATTACGTAGGGGTCATTATTACTGATTCCTGTTGTGTCTGTCGCTGAGCAATCTGCACCTCAACACCTAATTGCCATTCCATTGCTCGGTATACAGGCCAATCTCTCCATGATTTTCGCGTTTAACTCGTTTTTTTTGATCCATCAGTCACAGACTAGATACGAATGTACTTTCCCACCAGTTCCTTAGCTGTGATGTTTTAGCGCTATATTTTCTTCGGTAGGTTCCAAATGTGGGTGAAGGTAGAATGAATAAATCCCGTAGTCAAAAGATCTGTTCTACAATTTTCAGTTTCATGCGACGGTTTTGGCCGCTGTATGTTGTGTTAAATAGGATGCTGAAATGGGACACGTGAGTAACGAGGTTACACGATGTTATGCTATGTTATGTTATGTTAGGGGTAGATTGTATTCTTTTGGACAAAATCATTTCACTAAACCATATAAGATGAATCTTACGAATACCCAGATAGTGTTTGTCGTTGTGTGCAAGTATTCAACCAGGGCGAGGAAAACAGAGCGGTGGGCAGGCTGTCGCATGGAATTGAGGTAGTTGAGGTAGTTTTCTGAATCTGGCTTCCGCTTGAACACCCTGGCTTCCAGGCTGGGTCTCCGAAAATTCAGGGTCTTTGGCTGGAGGTACTACGGGATATCCGATTAATCTAGATCAGTGGAATAAGTACATTTTCACATGTTCGTGATTCCAATAATAGAACTCAAAATGTTTAAAAAATAGAAATATAATGCAATGAGCCAAAACGTTTTCATTCCGTGACTGAGCTTGATTACTCTTTGCTTTCACAAAACGGGATTTTTCGGCATAGTGTAGGTCAAGACAGTAATATGTGTTTGATTGAGGGTGGTTGCCTTGGGTTGTGGCTGATTACTCTTCCCTTACGGCCCGCTAATTGCTGCTATATGGCCGGGCGTCTCAAATCGGTTTTTCTGACAAAGCTGTAACCACTACCCAAAAGCGTCGGACATGTTTTGTGATTAAATTCAGAAGACAAAAGTTGACATCCTGGGCTCTAAGCAGATCAGGGAATTACCGATTTTTCAAAACCCCTGATTCCAAAGAGGGCTTTGACTAGCAGAAGGCTCCGATAGTGAATCTGTCGGGAAAATTCACCTGCCTTGACCTTATCAACCTGACTGTACGATAAAGACAAAACTGGTTGCAGTCTAAATATTGCGATTTTACGTAACAGTAGAACTGGATAGGGTTTTATAAAGCATAAGGCGTGGTGTTGTGGGATGCACATGAGGCATGGTCTGTCACACGCAATGTTCAAAGGAGTTTGAGATGATGCAAGACTAAGTATAAAGTTTATAGTTGCGATTTAAGTTCACGTTCCAGTTTGTACAAGCATTAACCATGCACTTAGGTGCGCCGGTTTTGATTTTGCTTTCTTTTGGTTGCTCAATTAAATGAAGCAGTAGGAAAAAGGTAGGAGAGGTGAAAGTCGAGTCGAAGAGGAAATGGAGAACTTCAGTGGACTAAGGTTGCAAGGAAATTGAGATGCACGAACGCCACTTTACGACAGTCAACCATATCATTCAATGTCTCAAACTATCGGGTACGATCGTCCATCCAGCGATCCTGACGGAAGCTATGTTTTTAAGTTGCAGAATAGCGTGCGATGAACAGCAGGCTGGGATGAGTCCGTAGTCACTAAGCCCTGCTGCTCCATCATGAAAACCGGTAACCCAGGCCGCGGGACTTGGAGTGGCAAACCACATAAGGCTCCGATAGGTCAGGCGTGACTGAGTCCTGATTAGGATTTTCATACCTTTACGCCAGGTCTTAGTTTAACCGCCCTTGACCTTTTCCCATCCGTTTCCTGCCTCGGCAAACATCGCTCGCGGTGGCAACCTATCTAGTGACATAAGCAACACGTCCTTACCAGCGTAGTCTATGAAGGTCAACCACTTGTTCCAGTGGACGACCGCAATTACTTATAACCTTACACCTAATCCCAGAATTGCTTGTTCTTTTCCCTCTGCCAGACTCATGCAATGCGACATAGACTGCGATTTTCGAACACCGACAATCTGTTTTTATCCTGTTCTCGTAATCGATGGTATTGAGTGAAATATATATACACGGGCTTGCGGGAAAGCATGGTGCCAACGCCAAAACAATAACGATAACAATACAGGAGAGGAGGTTGGGATACAGAACATAGGAAAAAGGTGGAACTGTTAAAATGGGAAATAGCAACTAAATGGGATGACAATTTTTTTTGTCTCATCGTACACTTTGAATTTTTTTTTGTTTTTGGAATATAACCCAGATTATTGTAATCTCTCCCCGTAGATGAATCATTTCTGTCCCTTAACCATCTGTGGACGATCTTACATCTTACGATCACATTATACCCATGGATTCCAGACTTGGATGGTTTACTCTATGTCCGGTCGAATGTACACTGATAGGAAACGTGGGAACAGCACTGATTGGAACCGATCAGAGACGCATATAGGAGAGCCGACATTCTTCGCAGCGCTAGCACCATTGGTCGGACATTTTGAGTCTTCTTGAACAGTGGTTTCTGTGTCCTCACTTGAGGCATGTGGCGGTTGTTGAGTTCCGTGAAGATACGGTAGCCTACTTCTGTGGCGTTGGGATAGTGCTGTGCATTTAGAAGCATTGGATTCAGTGTGGTTCTCCAAAGACCATTGTTAAGCTTCGTCACGTGTTTCTTTCTTCAGGTTGTATTACTGTATTCTAGATTTTGGCAAATGGTATTGCTTTTAGCCCTAGAACGTTCGGCGGATAATTTATGAATGTGAGGAAAAGTCGGGGACCAAGTACAGACCTTTGGGGAACCCCATGGATAACGTTGATAGAGCCGAATAGAGAATCAGAAACAAGAACTGGTTTGAAAAGAAAAGATCATATTGCAATACTGCACGATTTATGTCCAGGACGATTTCGCTGCATCTCAACATGGTGCATACTGCAGAAAATACAATGTTTATATAGGGTTTTAGCATAGCAACAGAGTGAGGCAAAATACATTTAAAAAAAACAGACAAAACATAAAAGAGGGAGGGGTAAAGGACCATATANGTCTTTTTTTTTCAAATTAATCTCGGGAAAGGCTTGTTTCAAGAACTGGTTTGTTCCGTCATCGGACGGTCGGACAGGAGACATCACATGCCGTGATTATAAACCTTCTATAGTAGAATCTGGTGGTTTACCCGATCAAATGCTTTCAAAAAGTTCACACAAATCACATCCATCGCGCCGTCATTCTCTATCTTTTCTTCTTCAATCATCTCGAACAAGAGGCCAGTTTGTTGGACTGGATCACTTTGGCGTGAACCCATGTTGAGCCGGCGAAAGCATGGAATATCCTTCTAAGTGATCCATCAGGGAATCCACCACAATTGACTCAATGGCTTTCAAAAATACCGGAAGGTTACAAGTCGATAGTTATAAGGGTCACTGTGGCAGCCGCCTTCGTACACGGGTGAAGTAACTACTTGTTTTCATAATTATGGGAGTGTTGTACGGTGAAACATCCGTTGTAATAGAGTAGCCAATCGTTTGGGGCGGTGATGGCCAAGTGCTTAGGTTACCGATCTGTGACCCGGAAGTTCAGGGTTCGAACCGCTTCACCGCCGCCCGTCTTCCCCAGGCAGCCTTTGTATGGCCGCAGCGCCCTTCCTGAAAGTTAACTGTAAATTTGTATATTCAATAAATTGAAAGAGAAGTAAAAAATATCATATCATCATCGTCATCTGCTTTGTCAAACAGGTCGTGGATCCTGGTTGTTATATTGTTGTCATCGCGTGGCACGACACGGTTGTTCAGCTTTTCTGTGAACCGTTTTGATCAACTTGAAATAATCTCTTCTATGACTTTCGTATGGGTATTGACTATTTGTATACCTTTTGGAGAAAGGTAGTAGTTCAAAGTTTATTGATGCTTCTGTTTGCCATTCCTACCTGCTACTCCGTTAAAAGAGCTGACAAGTGATTTACTTATTCATCCGTTTTTCATCTAACAGAAGAAGGAGGATCGGATTCGCATGATCTCTTTAATTCACTGCTCCCAGGCAATGGTCCGATCCCATTGCCTTCCAATGAGGAGACTCCGGATGAGTTTGATCAGCATCCCAGCATCATTCCGAAACACGAAAGTCTGCTTGTTCATGTCCCTTCGTCACCATCAGCATCGGGTCACAAATCCGAATCTTCCCCTGAACCGGTATCTCAAGCGTTCCGATACATTGGCTCTCATCCACTCATCATCCTTTTCTCGGTCACTCTGCTGGCACTCTGTGTTCTGTTGATCGTTCAAGTCACGCTCGAGTGCAAACGCCGCCGTCGTCGGGCCTCTCATTTCCAGGTGGGCTCTAATGTCATGTTATTTGACAGTTTTAGTTCTGTTCAGTTTGTATAACTGTTAATCCGTGCACTTCTGTGCTGCGGTTTTGGTTACTGTCTTTTGGCTGCGCATTTAGATAAATCAGAAGAACGGAATGTTTCGAGCAGAGTTAACCGTGACATCTGTGGCGCCGTCGCGACATCCGGCTGTCTGTGAAGGGTCGAGTGTGTGCTGCAGCAGTTCGGCCAGTTCTGCTAGACGGAACAGAAACTTGGCCATTAGGGGGACAGGATAAAGNAAAGTTGGATTGTCGATGTTTGAACGCCGCTACCTACGCAGCACTGGACGAATCTGGTGGGGCAGCCGGACAAGCAATGCTGAGGTTAGGCGCAGTTTTAGGCAGTCGCGGTCGTACACTGGAGCAAGTGGTCGATCTCCATAGACCGCGTTGGTTGGGGTATGTGCTGCACATTTTACCAAATAGGTTGTAATGATGTGTGCTGTTTGACGAAGCAGATGTGGAGGATGATTGTTCAGATGTTGAAGGGGTCAGGTTGAACTGAGCCTCGAAATGTGTAGCCCAACGGTCAATACGGCGTTGCTGATGGTGAATCAGTGTGTCACCGGATAAGGGATAACGTAATGGATACAACACAGTTCGCAGGACTCTCAGTGCTGAACTGAAACAG